GATGGATGGTGACAAAATCCTCACAACGACTTCAAAATCTATTCACATACTGTCGTAATACTCGTAAACACAGGAAAAGGAATATTATTATATAAACACATGATAGGATTTTCACAAGAATTTTCCCTGTACATTTAGTCGAATTCTCTTTATCAGAATTTCAAGCTAAGTGTAATATTTCCTCCGTCATTCAAAGATAGTTCAAGGTCCGTCATTCAAAGATAGTTCAAGGACATAATCTAGATATTTACAATACTGATAAATACGTGCAACAGGTGTGCAAATCTCATACCTGGAGTGGTATGAAATATGAATGCAGCCTTCAGCAGGTGTTTATAGGCTATGTTATTATGACGTCAAATGAATATCTTTAAAGTATATAACATACTCCCTCCGTTCCTGAAAGTTCGACTCACTTTGCATTTGCACGGTCTCCAATGAACATCGTTGACCAAACTTGTTAATTTATTCTGATTGTATATATCATAAAATGTGGTCAAAGTTATTTTATTTTGACCACATGAATCGTAAGTGAATCGAACTTTCAGGACGGAGGTAGTACATATAAAGGCTAAAAAGTTCAAATAAGAAAGCGAAAGTTCAACACACAAATTGAGAAAAATTTCAAGTAACGAGGTCATATCAGATCTATTAGTTCAATTAATCAATTCAGCCAAGTAGTGGGTTTCAGCTGAAAAGAGCACAGCCTTTCTGCCCTAACTTTAGTACACTACAACCTTGCTCTTCAGGTGAAAAGAGCAGAGCCATAATAAATATCATGTAGTCGTCAACCAAGATCCTCCCCTTTTATCAAGTGCTATATGCTCTCCTACAAGGCCAACTTCTTAATAACATCCCTAGCTCCCTCCATGCAAGTTTGTTGCACTAAATTTTACGTTCCACATCATAGTAAGGTAAACATCATTGAAGGAGAGTAGGCAGGCATATGGGGACAGTAGAGCAATTGATTAAAAAAATTTAAAAGCAAGCCATAATACCAATGAGCAAAAAGCTCTATCTTCCTACAACTTTCCTATTTAAACAAGTTGAATGTTATTGTGCATGAAGCAGTCTTCCAAACATGTCTGTACCTACCAGAGTTTCTATGCTACAACGTTCTCTTTCATTGAAGCAAGTTTAAAAATTGAGATGAAGATGACTTAGATGAGTGATGAAATATACTCTATTGTACAGGAAAACTCAAGGTGGAAAAAATCATGATATATGAGTGGATGCATCAATGTTACTCATAGCAAGAAAAAAAAAATCAGCATAATAACCTTTAAACATTGCTATTATAACACATGATAGGAATTCACCTTTGCAACGGCAACCTGTTTGGACTTGGTTGACCTAGACTTATGTGACAAAACCCTAGAGAACCGCGGAATTCCATCATCATTTGCATCTGTATACATCCCATTAGAGTTCTCATTGATCCCATTAGCATTAGCATCCATCTCCGGAAATGAAAAGTCTTCCCGTATATGCTTATCAACATTTTCCTCACCATTGGGAGGCATTGATACACTGTTATCTTTACCAGGCAATGCATGACAGTCCAAAACCAATCCACCACCGTAGTTGCTACCACCATTTTGCGAATAACCACTACTCGGGACATGATCAACAGTAGCCTTCCTCGAGCATATCCCACCCATTTTATTCACATAAAACTAAAAACTACACTCTCTAATTTCTATACATCCCTTGCATAAAACCTCCACCAAATTTCACCACAATCAAGATTATAACACCAATTTCAGCAGCAAAAACTTGAACCCACAACACTGATCTACTACAATACTCTTAATAATGATTCACCCACAAAAATCCAGTTCTACAAAGCTGCAAATCATAAAACAAACAATACCCATTTAATTAAAATACCATTTTACCCAATCAAAACCCCAAATTAGAAAATAAAAAAGCATAGAAACCGAACTAATTAAGCAAACTATAGTTCATAATCTAATAAAACCTTAAACCCCATTTCAGCAAGCAGAAAAAGGGAAATAGACTAAACTAAAAATTCAACCCCAAATAAAAAATAAAAATAAAAAAGCAGTAAATTGATATTAACAACATACAGAAAGGGAGAAAGGAAACATACCCAGAAAAGTAGAGAGTATGGATCTGAGTGAGAACACCAAGAAATTCTAAAATTTTGATATTCCCAGAAAGATAGTGAGTAAAAGAAACGGCGAAGAAATTGATGGGGGTGCAATGGATGATGATGATGACAATGATTGTAAAGAGAGTAGTATGAACAGTGAGAATATAAAGATGAAAACTTTGATTTTACAATGAAAATGGAGATTAACACGGCCCCCAAGCCCAGGTCACACGGTCTGCAAGGAGGCGCACTTTTCTGATTCTCTCGCTAAAAACTTTCTCTCTCTAGAAATTCTGGTGCCTAAACTTAAAGCAAAGCAAGGAAGGAGAGATGAGTGAGAGAGAGAGAGTCAAACAGCAAACCCAAAAATTTGAGCAATTCCACTGTATATTCATCACTTTTTTGTGCAACTATGGTTAAGCTTTTGAGACTTTTTTCACCCTCCTTTGACCATTTTCACATCTTTTCTTCCTTTTCCTACTCGCACTTCTTGGATCGTGCTGTTTAACCCCCCCTTCTTTTGATTGTAGTAATATCCCTAGTAGAAACTTGAACTTATTTGGTTCATGGTAAAGTGTAGAGTTGTACACTAGATGTAGTATTACACTTTACTATGATCCAAAAACTCCGAGAGAAGGAAGAATCGTGCTTTTAAGAGAGACGAGTATAACTTTAAGTGTCTGTATGAATGTTTGAATAATAAAATATGTGAAACAATTTACTTCTGAAAGGGCAGGTATGAACTTTACATATTGGTTTATTGTGGCTATTTTTTTTTTCTCACAAGTGGACAAGTTAGAAATTATTCAACCCTAATCTATGGGTAATGTCACTTTCTTGTTTGTTTTTAATCTTCGTCATATTTTAGAATTTAGATGCAATAGTCAATAAAGTATGTGCATTTCATTTTTTATTTTTTATTTTTTTTATTTTTTTGTGAATTTTCTTTGAGTCTTGCTAGTAAATAATGTTAGTTGAATAGATTAATTCTAAGTAACTATCTAGTTCTACATAGACCCTTTATAGTTACCATGTAAATAGGTAGGTTAGTTCAAATTGAAAATGCACTTGTATAATCTTCTAATGATCATATAAATCCAAACGTTACTTTTACAAAAGTTTGGCTCGGATCAATCTATGAACTAATTCACATTACATTAGACCTTAGTCCATACTTTCATATTAATTTATTCCGTATAATTTTATTACTTAATTAAACTACTCTCAATTTGTTCCTAAACCTTTATAATTATATCTTTACTTACAACAATTAACTTCTTAACTCTTTATTTAGTATGACTTTAACTCTACCATCTCTCATCATTTCATTCAACACTTAAATTATACCGATTTCCAACCTTCCATCATTCATTGTATATTTGTATGTTATTGTGTCATTTCGTTTATTACCCCGTATAAAATAAGGAAATTTAAGTCACCCAAATATATTATGAAGACTTCATTCAATCAATAATCATGAAGTACTCTTTAAGTTAGAGTATAGTCCAACCCCTTGAACAAGCAATGCAAACAATCAAGACGCATAAATTTCTGTCTTAACACAAAAATTGCATACAAATCCTTAACGACAAATGTATTAAGTACTAAGCGGTTTCTTAAAGATGGAATTTCAATGGTCAAATTGCTGATTCATACGTAGTCCCATAATATAAATCTACAAGTAATCAAGTACTTCGTATAAGACTTTTCAAAGGGCCAATAATATATTATATTATTTTCATGCATCTTAATACAAGTAGTAATAAAGACATTAGGATTTGGATATACTAGTACTTTATTTCATGTAATACGTGAAGATTTTGATGGCTCATACTACATGATCCACTTGCTAGTAACATGAATCACACAAAGAGCTAATGTCCAACTACAATTAGTGTTCGATAATCTGGAATATTTGTCCAACAATTTTGAAGAGTTTGCATAAGACTAGCAGTGTGTTAGTGGTCCTTAAAAGATGTTTGGCAATTCTTCACGTAGAGAGATATTTCAATCCCGTGTGGAGAAAATGAGTTAGTAGTCAATCAGTTTAATCTCGTGTAGAGAAATTGGTTAGTTTAATCCTGTATGGAGAAAAATGAGATAGTAGTCAATCAGTTTAATTTCGTGTAGAGAAATTGGTTGCAACAATACTTTAGATGTGCGGTTGTATCATCGATTCTATGTTTATACTTGGGATAAATGGTTGTGGTGATATATGTATTCACGTCATGTGACTGAAAGTCATAGATGAACAGATTAAAACATGATACAAGTAGAAATGAATAAGTATCATTCGATAATTGATTTATCATCGTGGTCGAAACTCGAAAGCATTTAGTACAGTTTTACATACTAGCAAAGTCAATGGTTACATACTTGCATGTGAATATACCCTACTTCTCAGGTTTGATAATTGTTTATAAAGAAATTATAAATCATTTTGATGTGACTGATTCATATCCATAATTCATTCAAGTAGTGATTACCTCCAACTTTGAAACAAGACCAACTGACCAAGTCAAGTATGACAAATTGGCACAAAGTATAAATTTTCGGGAGAAATCTCTATCATTATAGGCCCTAGAAGCAAGTATTAGTCAAGTTTGGACCCCCTTTTGCAGGATATAAAACATGAAATTAAACAAGTAGATGTAGATGTAATGTCATAAGTTTAATTTGTGTCCAATAATGAATATATTAATCATTATATTCATCAATTATACACAGTAATACTCATGATTAAATGCCAATTTTCTGATATTGAGTATATCGCGGGATTTGAATGTGATTAGAGATGTGATTAATCGAGTTGAATTAATCAGTTTGCACCAAGTACTATTACTTCAGTCAACAGTCTTAACAATCATCACCTGATTCAGCAAGCTACCTAAAGAAGAAATTATCTTGCAGATCGTATTATTAATTTTCCAAGAAATGTAAATGACTCTAGAAAGCTTGAAACACACAACTTCATCGACACAACAATACAACAACAAACACACTGTAAAAGCAAACAGAAGCCACCTATAAGGCGTGCTTCTAACAAACACACTCTAAAAGCAAAAACATGAGTTTTCCATTGGATTTTGCAGCAGAAACCAGTGTTTCAAGAAACTGGTGCGGAGGCTTATAGGTGAGCTGAAACATAAAGAGACGATCCATAATGCTAGTTTTGTCTAAAAGACAGAAGTTTAATTAACAAAGAAAAGATAATGCAAACAATTAAATTATACCATATTGAGCATTTAAGGATTATTTCCTCCTGATATGAGCTCCTCCAATTCGTCTATCACAGCCTTGTAGCAAAACTTGTATTGATCCTAGATAAATCCACACTTATCAACGTAAAGAATAGAATAGAAACAGAGAAATTACATGCTAATTGTATAAGATCCCAGCATTAGGATAGAAACAGAATATATATATATATATATATATATATATATATATATATATATATATATATATATATATATATATATATATATATATATATATATATAGATAGATAGATAGATAGTTACAGGAAAGTCTTGACTCACCTGCCTTTCTCCTTAGGAGAACTAATCGCGAATAAAATTTTACGTTATAATCATACCAATAATGTATTGATTTAAATTTCGTTTCCATCATTAAGAATCAAGGGAGCGAAGTCCAAATTTAACATATTAATCCTAGAAAGTGAACTATTATATTGAGAAGGCCTAAAATAGCAGGGTGCCTCCTTGTTAAGGAATGGAGGAAGTACTCTTACAGAAAATGTAACAGCTTTTAACGGACATCCTTATTTAGAACTATGTATATGTGACCATTTTTCTGTACAGAGAATGCAACATCAAAGGGTTGGACTATTCAACATGACTACTACAGCATTTCCAATAACTAATCAAGCACCAAGCAATAGTTATAACCAAAAGACCAAACACAATATCACAGAGTCGTCAACACTTAGAAGAGACAATACCAGCGATTGGACCATTCCAGCTCGCTGAAATCTGAATGCCTTGACAGTTTTGGCTAATTCTAAGGCAGACTTATCTCCTCCTAGAATTCTTTGGATTGTATCATGAATGGTGCAGTATGTTCCAGTACGGCCAATTCCAGCACTGAGAAAAGTAGCTAATATGTCAGAAAAATCTGAAATTATCCAGGGAATAGTAAGCCCGGAGAATAAAGTAATTTAATAACCTGCAGTGCACCAATATCGGGCCAACACTGGGAGACTGATGAAAAGTTCTTCTGAAAATCTCTCGAACAGCTAATGTGTCCTTCGGTGTGCCATGATCTGGCCACCCAAGATACTGAATATGCAAAACTGACAATGGTGGCTCTTTTGACTGCAACAAATGTTAACTGAACAGTGAGGTACCATCTCATCAAGGGGTGTCGATACTACATATGCCAGAGAAAGTTAGCTCATATATGGATAAATTTAAAATTTCAGTTAACAATAGTACTGTATAACTATCAAACAGCGAATTCATAGGCGTAATAATCATTTTCATTTCAATGTTCCTGAGTTTTCATGTTTATTGGACTCAGGTTTGTGTCCAAGCATTAGCCTTGGCCCTTGACTATAAATCTCCTTTATTTGTCCCAGCATAAACTGTCAAGTATCCACAACCATATGTCAAATCATCAAAGACCTGACATGAGTACTTAAGGTAAAATGAAGAGTTCAAGGAACATAACTAGGGATGGCAATGGGTCGAATCTGGGTCGGGTCTGACAAGAACAAAACCCAGACCCAGACCCAGACCCAGACCCGGATTTTTGGAGGTGGACCCAGATCCCCTGGGTCTAGCGGGTCTCGGGTCTAACTATAAATTTTTAATTTTTTTAATCACAAATACAAGTATTATTTATAAACAAGTATTATACTATCCTATTACTTGAATTTAAAAAAAGATGCATTAAAAAATCTTGCTACATATCAAAATAGACTGCATAGAAAGAAAGATACATTAAAAAAACATACTAGTTTATAAAAGATAAATGGATATTCTTTTAAAAAAAAAAAAAAAAAAAAAAACACCATAAAAACAAAGTTTTGTGCAGCAGGCAGCAGGTCTTCTTTGGTCTATTATGTTCTTGGTCTCCTCTTGTTCTTCTAAAATAATATTCAAACGATAGCTCTACTTATGACTTATTTTATTTTATTTTTTGCTCCAATTTATTTCTATATAGGAAATCATTTATCAAGTTCATCATTAACAGGACACACATTTTATTTTATTTTTTGCTCCAATTTATTTCTTTTATTAAAATGACCTTACCTCTGCTTTGGTGACTTCCAAATGCCTAAAAACCAAGGAGCTCCCAGTTTCTTTTATCCAAGTCGTGACGATAGAAATGTTGCCAAATTCATTAGGTCCATTCTCTGCTTGAAAATAGTCATCACACTTCAACTTCTGCATTTGAATTGCATTCCATAAATCAGAAGTTGCAAATAAATAGATTACTAGTACAAATACTCTGTTCAACAAAGAGTTTCTTTTTTTTTTTATTTACTCCTGAGATGCAAACCTAATTCAAGAGTTGAAACTTGAAAGCAGCATTAGCAAAAGATTCAAAGGGAGTTTGGAAGAAGTACATCAGTGCAGATATCTGTCACACAGAATGCTAATTATAAGGTGACAGCAATCAATTTACCCCTTCAAACAACCGTGTAAGCATTACAATCACAGGGCAGCGATACTGCAACACCATTTCCCAGAAATCTGAAAATGTGCTTGGCAATGGACCTTGTGTGGCTATGAACTGAGGAGCATGTTCTGCAGAAGACTAAATTTGATGGACAAAAAAAAAAGGAAAAAAAAAAAAAGAAAAAAAGATTAAGCTATGAAAAAAGTATGTAGTGATCATGCCTGGTTTAAATAGTAAGATATGGAGTGCAATGCGCACATCACTTACTTTTACAAAGCTTGCATTGATGTAACCCCCGTCTGTCAGGACAATTCTGTTGCTGTCAACTGTTAAAAAAAAAAAAAAAAAAAAAAAAAAAAAAAAAAAAGAGGCAAAAATAAGATATTCAATGCAGCTAGATACTTCATATAAGTATATAACAGTAATTACACATGCAGATCATACCAACATTACCCCAATGCCACTGAAGAGGCTCTAACCTGGTCGATTCAAGAGGTATTGAATGTATGTAGTATTTTAGTCTCATAATCTTACACTTTTAATAATGGAGGGATTATTCCCCGTCAAACTTTGAATTTGACATACACTAACTGTTTGCTATGTCAAAATGAATAGGAACTTTAGACATTTACATTAACCATTTTAATTGTGTGAGTTATATTCCAAAAATCAATGGTAATTAGTACGTAGAACGTGTTTGCTCCATTAGAATTGGAGAAATGACAGATTAAAATCTTTAAAAGAAGTTAACTTATTGGATTAGGAATTACATGGTAAGACATTTGGATACCGATTTTTGTTCAAATTGTCAACATGAATAGCCACCTTACAGAGTTCTTCCTTTTTCTCTTCCACATCAGATTCTTTCATTGATTCTACCTGCATCAGAGAAGAGCTGGCTTAACATCTATCTCGTAGTAGGAACCACATAACAATGAAGAATATATTGATGGACAACAAAATTGAGAGGAATCACACATAGTAGAGCATAATCTGCAGGGCACAATGGACTAAGAATTTCCCACCCTAACAGATATACAGAATAAATATAGGTTTACTAACATAATGCAAAAACTTGTTTTGCAAGTTTCATATTGATGCAAAAACTTACATTTTCATACTAAAAATGAGTGAACAGCAATTATTTAAAGTGAAGTAGAAAATCGGCAAAAAACCCATATTTAAAAAGTTCTAACAGTGGTTACTCTGTAAAGTGTCACATGAAGTAGTGGATCAGACATAATACCTCAAGAAGATCAAACTCGCGTTCTTTGAAATCAGGGTGCCCCAAATTCTCCTTGAGACAGTGAATAGCATCATTGCAATATTCTATCTGCTCAGGGGAGAGAGATAACTGAGGAGGATGTTGTGGGAAATCGAAGCATTTGAGAGGGTGAGAAAGAGAAGGGGTAGAAGAAGAAGCTGAAACTGAAGTAGATTCTACAGGAGCAGCCATATTTATCCTTAAGAAGTTAAGAATAGGGAGAGTGTGAGAGAAAAAAATGAAAGGTATTGCTACTTCTCTTTCAATGTCTTCAGGTAAATTCTCTGATTCCAGTGTTTGATATTCAACATATTTATTGGTGGGAAATAAGAAAGATAGTCTGTCTACTTTTCTTTTTTAATCAGGACATCCCAAACTTTTCTACATTATATAAATGCAGTATATAGAAGTACTATTAATGAATGGCTATGTGAAGAAATTTTGCATTTTTGATATTCAAACAAATTGATACAATAAGCAAGTTGCTTATAACAAGTTGATCATTTTAATTCGTATCGTACATAATATGCTATCTTTATTATTACAGTACAAAACAAAGAAAGAAAATACATACTTGAGCATCACATGCTAACAACCCACACCAACTCATGTTCTACCCATTATAATCATCATACCTTATTAAAACAATACTAAATCTAAGCCTTTACCTCCATTTATATAATAACCAACAACTTAGCCGCCCCTCATTGTTATTATGGGAATATAATAATATAAAGTATCAAACTTCATCAATTATTAAAAGCAATATGAAGACTTACAAAGCAATCTCTAGTCATTTATTACCATCATAAAATTCGCAATGTACACATATACATTTTCATTTAAATAAGCTAGACTACATCCCATTGAAGGGGGGAAAAACCTGGTAGCTTGCTTTGCATCTACTGGTCTATGTTGTATGTATATGGAGTCATCAAATACGAAGCAGCAGTAACAATACTAACAACAACAAAGTTTCACTTTAAAATGCCTCTCCAGGGTTATATGTACAGATACGGGCACAAGAACAATTAATATAAATTAAACACAGATACACGTACAAGAACATGAATTAAAACTGCAGCAGAAGGCAGAACCCAATTTTCCAAGGTTGGTGCAATCAGAAAAAGAAATAACAAACGCAAAGACTCTGATTACAGTCTTAATTTTAGCAGTACGTTGTACATTAAGAAATCATCATTCTTCCTTCTGTGAATATTCATGTAGGGAAATTACCTTGAGAAGTCACTGCTGCTCTTCTATACCTGCACCAGTCTTGCTGCCGCAAAGAAGCAACATAATGGCAGAACAAGGACGATCCTGCGGAGTCTACATTCTCTAAAATAACATAATTCTGAGCTGAACCAAAAAAACAAATGGACAAATGGTACATGGTGCAAAATGTGTATAACAAATGCGAACTCATGAGAATAGCTAGATAAAGGTAATATACCTTTAAGCACTTTTCTCAGGATCCTACCCTGATATGAGCTCCTCCAATTCATCAACCAACATCATCCTGATATGAGCTCCTCCAATTCATCAACCAACATCTTGTAGCAGAAGTAGTATTCATCCTAGATAAATGGCACATGCATAATCATGTATTAGGTTTACAAGACATAGGAAAATTACTTCATAAATCCTAATTCTTAACAAACACTTTAGCATTAAACAAAGGCAGAGATTATTATCCTAATATAATAAAATCAGTTTCTGTCCTCTACACTTCCCCATCCTTGAGGTTAGGGTCATTTCTCATTTCCCACAACTTCGTCATTCTTACTCACTCTTATACCAAATCTATTTATTATATTACCCTCATCAAACATACCGAGAAAGTCCAAGCTTATCTCCTTGATGAACATAACAAGGTTCAACGTTTACCAAGTGGCAATTTTCAATTAATAACCTGATAAAAGTTCCCTCTTAATCACTACTCAAATCCCGGCAAGGCCTTGACAACACGCTTGCTCTACTGAGATATAGTATACCGAATTTCGGAAAATTTTACACAGCCTAAATTAACCACACTGAATAATTTCTTATTTGCCAAAAATGGTACAATATATAGGAAGATTTTTTTTTTTTAATTAAAAAAAACTCAGCAAGAAAATTAAGAAGACAAACGCAATAACCATGATCATTACTTCATTAGCACTACGAACTCGAAACGGTAAGGGGAAAACAAGACGATCGTCAAAATCATACCCCAGTCATCCATGATCGTTTGCTCGTTTGATCACAATCACTGCAAATTACCGCACAGGCGTAAACAATAAAGTAGCAATAATATTTCAATTATTATCACAATTTGACGCAACTAAAATCAATCAACTCAGGAAATTCAACACGACAATTAAGTGCAATTAGTTACTTAAAAATTCAAAATTTTAATCGCATAAAACGGAAACCCTAACTCTCAATAATATAATAATTCAGTTTTATTGAGATGATTGGAACCCTAAATTATCACTAATCAATGAGTTGCAAAAGCTGAATAAGTAAAATACAGCAAATTAAATGAAATTCTTACCATCCATGTTTAGAGCGGAAGCTTGAAGAAAAAGAAAATCATATACAAGTAAATGAAAGAAATTATGGCATTTGGATAATCAAATTATGGTGATCCAATCAAAAGAGTGATTTCTCTTTATGATGAAGAATTGAAGAGGAAAGTACAAGTTGATCTTCAACAATTGTTTAGGAATGTCAAAAATTGTAAATAAATGGACAACTTTTTTAACAGTTTGACACGCAACCTAAATCTTTTATCACGAAGTTAGATACTTATTTTGTCCCTATTTTTTTTAACCCTATTTAACTTTTTATAGTCTTTAAGACGCGTCTTATAACGCAACTAATTTCATTTTCATATGTATAAAAATTATAAAAACTTGAAATACTTCCTCCATTTTAAAAATGGAAGGGAAAGGATTCAAACAATAACTTGGTGGAAGGGAGACATCCAACAAATTAATTGCACTACCAACTAAGTAAATTTATTGTTCAACAATGTAACCTCCTTACGAAATATATATACACTATCTGAATTTTCAGATTTTGGGGTTCAAATATAATGAGGTCTTGTGTTGTTGGGCTCTTTACACAGCCCAATAGCTGGTCCTGTACCCGAATCTAATAAGACCCAACCTAACTTTATGGTCAAAGTTTTTGGAGTTAAACTCATTTATTTACAACGGAACAAAAAAATGGGGACGGAGGAAATAGTACAGAGGTAAAAGCGCTAAGCTTGACTTTGGCAATATTAGGGCATTTTGACTTTGACAGTATAAGGGCATTTTGGACTTTTTCTTTAGACTAGATTGTAAACAAAGGCCCAGGAGTACGTAGTAAACAAAATGCAACTCTTGTTCACTGAAGCAGCGAAAAGGAGAAATGCCTAAAATGTATAACTGTGAAGCATAATCTGAATTTCTCCATTGAAGCAGGTTAGATATCTTTATTTTCAATCATAGAATATCAATTTCACAATTTAGGGTTTATCGTTGATTTAATTCAATTTAGGGTTTGGTTTGTATAACCCTGTTTTAATCTCATTACAAAACCATGATTGTTTGTGATATTATTGATTGGCTTTTAACGAGTTTTGATATCTTTGGATTGAACTGATAATTGTTATATAATTCCCTGTTTTACATGATTATTTTCAGAATTTGATTTGATCTGTAATTTGTATACTCAGTAATTAAGGCCCTGGTGTATGAAATTGATCATTCAATATCCAATATTTTAATCTGCTTGTTTTTAATTGGAACAACTAATTCACTCCAATTTAATACATTTACTTCCAATGTGATTAATAATTCAGTTGATGAACATATGATTACTTGCAAGATGATAACTTTTGATAAGAATCTGTAGCATTTGAATTACAAGAAATTGGAGAAGTATCAAGTATGTTAATGTTAAAAACAGTTGAAATTCACCTAATTTATCTACTTGTAGCAAAATGGATTCTAGGGAAACAAACTGCATTCTTCCTGATGATCTGTTTGAGGGTATCCTTTCAAGGCTGCCAGTGAGTGACTTATTGCGTATGTGATGTGTCAGTAAGTCATGGTGTGCCCTCATCGACGATTCTAGCTTCATTTCGATGCACCACCGTGCTCAATATGCCATGTGCAAAGAAAATGGGGATGTGCCTCTCCTTCTTATGAAGCGCTCATCTGTAGTCACAACTGACTCAAGCCAATGGTATCTTCTCTTTAAACAACAAGGGGACGACATTGTTTTGAATTTGAATTCTGATCTAGATCGTGATAAAAACTCTGTTTTCACAATTGATCCCTCCTATAGAATAGATGAAGTCATATGTAGAGGCAGTGCAAATGGCGTCATTTGTCTTGAACTTTGGTGCATCAGTTAAGAATGGTTGAGTGTTAGTATTAGTTGTTGCTTATGGAATCCGGCCACAAGAGATTTTAAGATGATTGCCTACCCTGATGCACCAGATATTGATCTTCAACATGGACGCAATGTTGTGGTAGTTGGCTTTATGTTTCATTCAGTGTCTAATGATTTGAAGATTATGACTAAAACTTGTATTGTGTCTTCTAACAAAAGATTAGCATACGATATTTACTCACTTAACACCAACTCTTGGAAGAGACTTGAGCCGCCATTGTTATTGGGTTGTCTTGGCAATATTCAACGTCCTGTTATGGATTCATGCATAAATGGTGTTTATTATTGGATTGCCGATGCCATAGGAAGTCATATGCACCCTAAGCTAGCTCAGCATCACTTGTATTGGGTCCTATCATTTAATATGAGCACTGAGCTTTTTAAATTTTCTGATCCTCCTCAAGTGGATTGGGATTATCTATCTTCCCCTAGTGATACAAATTATGATATTGGGTTGTACAAGGAATGCCTCGCAATATTTGTCACCCACAGATCTCGTCCCGAGTTAGTGGGTAGTTTTTACATCTGGGTAGCCACTGAATTTGATGATGACTTTGGAGTCCCATTGGCATGGCAGTGTTTGTTCTCTTCCAGACCATTTCCTTCACTTTATGGTCCAAATGTTATGACTGCACGAATGGATGGCGATCTGCTGCTCCTCATCAATGTTGATCTGTGCCTTTATAATCCCGCAACAGACAATATCTCGAGTTTTAGTATAAGACTTGAATTTTGTTACAGATATGTGGTGAGTTTGTTCCCTTTATTAAGGAGGGTTGTCCAGAATTAAGCTCATCTTTGTATGCTGGTGGATTCTTAGAGCATTTGTGGTTACTCTGGTTAGAGTATGGATTTGTTTCAAATTGTGGTTTGGATTGTATTACACAATAAAATTACTGGCTTCTTTTTATTATAATTAGTAGTAATATTGGTTTGTATTTCTTTTTAACGAATTTGCATTTGGTCTTTCCTCCATACCTTCTTTTTCATAATTCGATCATGGTGCATGACTGAGGGAGGTTGGATTGGGATCTAAAAACACTATGGTATTAAATCCCCTAACAAGTTTGCCATTAACTTTTTAAAAACTGAATTTCTAATTATATTAGACAAACTCAATTTTCACTCTGCTTATTCTATTGAGCTGGATTCAAAAATCTTCAAATCATCTGTTTTCTGTTTTTTTTTTTTTTTTTTTTTTCACTTACATCTTGTGCAAATGATTGTGAGACGAAACAAATGAAATGGAGAAAATATGAATATTCTATGCATCTGTGATACAACTAAAACATCATCAAAACCATTATACGAATGGAAGACAAAAATTCGCACTAATGGACTTTTGTATCAATGTTTCCCAAATAATGAACTGAAATATTTGGTGGTTACATAGAGATGTATTCTATACATTAGGCTACCTTCTGGTGTGGTAGACTTGCTCGTTTGCTATGCTAGATTTGTGAGCATTTACCTGACTTGCCTGTATTTTTCATTGTCAATTACTCCATACTTGTATCAAAAATTGGAGCAAAATACTCTCTATAGTTTCATGAAACACCTTTTGCCTTGAGCCTTGAGCCCGTGACTACACTAAGCATTATAACTTCTTTGTTACATAAAACATTCATGCCTTGCAGGGATCCAAAGCTAATCCATTATGTCTCCTTTGCGTTTACAGGTGGAGAGTTTCGGCGGAAAAAATATGAATGAATGGTGCAATAATTTGAGAGGGAAGTACAAGAATCCACTTTCGTGAGACATTTTCTGGTGTATTTTATGGGTTTTGTGACTGTGTTGAAATGGGTGGGTATGTGAAGGCAAACGGAGGGAAATTGATGAGCTTGTTCACAAAGCTGTTAGCATCGTGGGGGAATATGATCAAGCCAGAGAGGTTATTAGCAGCAGTTCAAAGGATCCGAGGCTCCCTACGCTTTGGACTGCTCCTTGTGAAGGAATGTACAAACTAAACTCTGATGCTGCCATATTCAAAGATAATCTGGTAGGGCTAGGAGGTGTTACGAGGGAATACCAAGGGGACATTGTGGTGGCTACTTGTCTGAAGCTCCGGGGCAAATTTGATGCTGAAATTGTTGAAGCTATGGCAATGAGGCATGCTTTGAAGATCACTATGGACGCTAGTTTTGTGCGAGTATGTTTGGAGACTGATGACAGCAAAGTGTACAAGCATCTGGTTGAGAAATACGCTACTCCAACCTTTTTTGGCAGCATTATTCAAGATATTTGAGGCCTTGATTTAACCAAACTTGAGCTTTACCATACAGGCCTAATGAATTGCAGTCATTCATTCATAATACTGAAGCAGGATCAGTTTCAGGCCCTTGACATCCTCCATAGCTTTGGGTGTCATATTCAATGAGCTTGGATAAAACTTCTCTCTCAGAACAAAGTCGTCTGAGTAAGATCGGGTTTGACCTCTTGGGAAGCTGCCAGCCACAGGAACCTCTCAGATAACGGGTTTACCAAATTTTCCCTGAAATCCTCAGCCGGCTCACAGATTATACACTGATGTACCATGCAAACTTGCATCAAGATAATGAAAAATATAATTATTTAAAGGAGCATGTTAGTTGCTAGTTACCTCTGCCATGGCCTTAATCTTCAAAGTGATGTCATTACTGAGAAGGATGAGCTGTCCGTCATTCTTATTCTTCCTGAAGCTGAGAGCATAGTCAAGTACATGATCTTCTGTAGAGGGTGACTGAAGTTCTGGTCGAAATTAAAGGAGCCACCACTTTGTTTTAACTATGCAATCTTCCATCCGTTCTAATGTTGATGATACCTCTGTATTTCTTAGATTTTATCCTAAATAAAATCAGCTTATATTTATGCTCTAAATAGAGGGAATTTTTTTTTCTTTTTAATAACAAACAATTAGTGACTAAAAAATATCAACCGCAAAGGTTATAATCACAAATTCACAATGATTGATACTAATATATAAAAACATTGGGTAAATATCCAAACTTGGCTCATAATTAACGTTTAAGTCAAAGTTTTAATTGAAGATTTAATAAAACACGCCTCTTAAAATCAAATTTGAGTTGTTACATATTAACAGCATTGTTATTAAGCTCAACCTTATCTAAGTTACTTATTACACTATTTTGAATCCTAGTGATTGATAATACTGATATACAGACAGTAGTCACAAAACTCGCAGTACATTATACACTTCCAATAATATTCGTTTGGGTTGGGGGATTATAAAAATTCGAGAAAAACAAGCATCGTCACAAACTCTCAACAATAAACTTAAAAAATGTCTTTTTTTTTTGGCAATTTAACTTAAAAAATGTCTTTCCCAGGTTAAATGTACCAATACAAGTACAATAATAGCTATATACTTAATTAGTATGGATACAAGTACAATAACAGGAATTAAATGTACAGAAGAATCCGAATTTCCAAGGTTGGTGCTACCAGGGATTAAAAAAACAGAAACTCTGAATACAGTTTGATCAGTGTTACGTTGCACATCAAGCAATCTTCATTCTTCCTTCTGTAAATATCCATGTTTGAATAATTACATTGAGAAGTCACTGCTGCTCTATTGCTCCTGCGCCAGTCTTGCTGCAGCAATGAAGCAACCAAATAAAAAGGACAGGATCGATCCTGCAGAGTCTGCAATAGCATTATTCTGAGCTGAAGTAGAAAATAATTGGTCCGTGATGCAAAATTTACATAAATGCAACTTTATGAATCTATGAGAATAATGGGATATACCATCAAGCACTTTTTTCAGGATTGTACCCTAATATCAGCTCCTCCAATTCATCAACCACCACCTTGTAGCAGAAGTAGTATTGATCCTAGATAAAAGACACATACATAAACATGTATTAAGTTTAAAAAGACATAGGAAATTACTTTACATCAGTTACAAACACATATGCGCATAAACACACGCGCGCGCACACACACACACGGTTGGATTGTATTAGCGGGTTCTCATCGAGCTTAACATCCAAATTCCTATTTTGGGGAAGGGTTCCCCTATGGGTGGAATCCCCTTTTAGGCTCATATGGTATGGACGTATGGTCCTCCTGAAATAGCTAATTAGTAATTACCATATCCACCCCTTCTCGAGAGAGAGAGAGAGAGAGAGAGAGAGAGAGAGAGTACCAGTGAGAGAGAGAGAGAGAGAGAGAGAGTACCAGTGTTTGAACCATTCCAACTCGCTGAGATCTAAAAATCTCAACAGTATTGGCCAAATCTAAGGCAGACATATCTCCAGCAAGAATCCTTTGGAGTGTGTCATGAATGGTGCAGTATGTTCCTGTGCGACCAATTCCAGCACTGAGGAAAGAAAATAGGATGTGTGAGGATCAATGGTCAATGATTAACTTAGAGAGCAGAAACTAGGACCTGAGCATGAAGTATACCTGCAATGTACCACTAAAGGCCCTAAACCAGGTGGCAGCTGATACGTTCTTTTAAAAATCTCTCTAACAGCTACTGAGTCCTTGGGAACACCATGATCAGGCCATTCAGGATACTGAATATGAAAAACAGACAATGGTGCCTCTTCCGACTGCAATAACCACATGAGCACAACAGTAAGTTACTGGTCACTGTCTCATCAAGTACATCTAGTTATAGAGAACAAGCTCACATTAAAAAGCATTCAGCTGAGTTACCAGACTGCCAGTATAACTGTCAAGGAACAAATCTGATGAGGTGATAATTGTACTTGGTCTTTTAATCAACAAATTTTTATAAACAAATTCAAGAAGCAAATCGAAATAGACTATTCCAATGCATTCTCAATGTATTTACAAATAGTATTATCTAATGCGATAAGTCCAAGCACTTTGATGCAAAGCAAAATGATCCAATATTCATAATTCATGATTATTCAGCATTCCTTGCTCTGTTTCTATTTATCCATATTCCATAGTCCATACTCCCACCAAGAGTATGAAACAATTTCTCCTCAATTATTGCAAACAAGAAAGCTGTATTAGCTATGAAATGGCTAGTGCTTCTGCTTCATGAAGATGAATAAAATAGTTTAGTGAGTATTTGGCTTATCATTAGCCTTCTTATTTGTAGTTTAATCATCTGCTTTCTAATTTGAGAACTATTAACAAAGTTTGGGTGGTCAGGGCTAGAGCTAAGATTTTAATATGCTCTTTTCTTTTATTACTCATCACAAAGCTCTTTCACTTAATTTAAAAGGATGGTTCAGGTTGGATTGTCTTTAAAAACTCCACTGGATTTCTCTCCTAATCCAAAGAACAATTAAAAAAATAGATAAGGCCATAGCCTAGCATATAATTATTCCTTAACATTATTCTAGTTCCTCCTAGTTCATTTTTCAAGACAATGGCCTTGTTTGGCAAATGGTTGTTGGCGGTTAGCTGGTTCACTTGGCTTGTTTGACCAGCAGGAATGTTTGGTTGTTTATAATGGCTTTTGAAATTGGTTGTTTATAAAAGTGTTTGGTAAATTTAGTTGGTAGCTATTGGCTGTTTATTAGATAATTTGTGGGCCAACAAGCCAAAAGCCAACAAAAAAAGCTACTCATAGCAGTTTTTTCATTTTGGCTTAAAAGCCAGCTTTTTCGCTGAATGAAAAGCCAATTACCAAACACTTTTTTTTGGTTGTTTGACCACATAAAAAAGCCAAAAGCCAAAAGCTAACCAAAAAGCCATTTACCAAACATGGCCAATATTCAACAATGAACTATAATTTTGGATGCATAGAATGATCTTACCTCTGCCTTGGTCACTTCCAAATGTCGCAAAATTAAAGAGCTCCCAGTTGTCTTGATCCATTTTGTGACAATTGATATGTTACCAAATTCCCGAGGTCCATCCTCTGCTTGAAAATAATCACCACACTTTAACGTCTGCATATGAAATCCAAAAATGTAGATACACACTATTAGAGCAGAGTTCAGAACGGAAAATCGTGGAGAGCAATTAAGATATCCACACTCCCCAACTAGTACAAGAAGGAATAAATCACTGCGTGCATTTCTACAAATACATAGGCCATCACATATATGGAAGAATAAAGTTGAAAAAAAGACATGGGGAATAAATAATCCAGAACCAATAACTTCCCAGAATACAGTATTAAGCTTGCTTGCTCACAAAAGCTGTGTGTGGCAGGCCTAAAATACTCGTAAACACACTGCATATAATAAAACATATACTCAAATGAAATACAAGCAGCTCAAACTAACCAGCTTTGATTTTTCTCTCTCCTCACAAATTATATGCTTCAAACACAGGCACTTAAAATTATCTCTGTTACTGATGTTTTAGAGATGTGCTTCCTTTCTAATCCATATAAGCATATATATAGTAATTTAAAATCAGATTTAACTGAACATTTGCCAGCACTGTGCCATATTGTTTAAGATAGGTAACTTTCATACAAGCTTTAGTTCACCATGACATCAAGTTTGTCATTGATTTACATCAAAGTTATCTCTTTATTAAGTATTTGCCTCCTTGGATACTAAATATTAAGTTAATTTTATGGGCATAGGAGTGCAACCTCAACCGTGTTTTCATTTTCACACAAACCACACATTCAAATGGAATTGCAACATGTGTATTACTCAATAAACAACAGTCAAGTGTATCTTACTTTAATTTGTTTTTGCTCTGCTTATTAGTGAAGACTGAAGACATGGATTGATGGATGAGTTGAAGAAGCAATTAGCAGATGATTAGAGAAAAGTTTGGAAAGTCATAAGTGCCTTCCCTTATATGGTCACACAACTCAAATAAGATGGTGTACGGCACAGTGAAGTACCTTGTAATTGTCAACCAGCCGTGTTAGCATCACAATCGCAGGGCAGCGATTCTGCAACACCATTTCCCAGAAATCTTCAAATGTATGTGACAATGGACCTTGTGTGGCTATAAACTGAGCAGCACCTTCTGCTGGTGTCTACATTTGATATGAATTCAGATGTCAAACAGAGAATGTAAACTGATATGACACCATCCATCATCTATGAATGACTGTCCCAAACACAAAATATTTGCAAACATTTAGCAATTTTGATAGTCAATTTACAACCTAAAATGCACCTATTCATGCAAATAAAGTGTTTGAATTGCTCTAGAAATTTTTTCAAGAAAAATAAAATAAAAAGATAACACTTCCATGAGTCTATTATATTACTTGTACGTAATATAAATGGTCAAATATTATATTCAATGATTCATTCAATAATCAGAACACAACAATCAAGTCTGGATGGAAGGAGTGAGTATTAAAACAAATTAGTAACAACTACTCCAGGGTTACATAGTTTAGTGGTGGAGAGCACATACTAACTTTTATAAAGCTTGCATTAATGTAACCCTTGGCTGATGGTCTATAGTCCTTACATGAGGTCAAAACGACTCTGCTGCTGTCAACTGAAGACAAGGACAAAAACAAGCTAGTCAATCACATTATTCATTCATAACAACATTCAAACTGATAAAAAGAGTCAGTGAAACAACTAGACACCTTCAAAGAAATAGATAGATTGGATTAGAAATTACATGGTATAACATCAGTATAGCGGTTTTTGCTCAAATTTACAGGGTCAAGGGCCACCCTACATAGTTTTGTCATGTCAGATGATCTGATTCTTTTGTCCTGCACCCAAGAAAAGCTTAAGATCTCAGAATAGGAACTGCATCACAATGAACAGATTTTGATAAACAAAATTTGGCGGACAAACAATATACAGCATAACATAATCTGCAAAAATAAATACTACTCCGTCATTAATAAATTATACAAGTAAAAAGAGATTTTTTTTTACTAATCAGAAATGAGAAATACAAGTAGAGGAAATGAGGTCCCACCAAGTGCCACAACAGAACAAAATAGAAATGAACCATTCAAGCAACATAATATTCAAATTCTAGTATTTCACCTTTGTATAAACGTGCAACATGGATTTTATAATATCCGTTCACAGAAAAACTATGGAGTAAAATTCACATGGCCTTAAGGTTGCATACCATTAAACCATTCACAATGGGAACAAATTTGCCTATCATCACAACTTGTTCATTTGTCAAATTGAGTTTGACAATTGAGTACCTTTATCTAACAAATGAGTAACTTTATCCATTAGTGAAAGTAATATGCTATTGCCTTAAGGTTGCATACCATTCACATTGGGAACAATTTGTCTATTATTCTGACTTGATCTTGGCTAATGCCCAAACTCAACTTTGATATATGAACAAGGACAGACTCAACTTTATCAAACAAATGGTGCCTTCTAAGTCCAACATTTGTAATATTGCATCTTTGAGACATCAAAAAGCTGAAGCTTTACCAAATGCACACCATCATTTAAGGCATCATGTTCTCTTGAAAATAAACAAAACCACAATTACAGGAAGAAGTATTTCTAGCAACATGCTGGTCCAGTGCTCCCCTTTTACCACATCATCATCTTTGCCAATCATGTTATTCCCTCAACAGGCACAGCATTAGGTGGAGAACCATCACTCAGAAGTCAGAACGGAACCTTACTTGTATAGCTGTATCTATGACACTGACACAAACATTCCTGTCCACGCTTGAGCCTTGAGCCTTTTTTATGCATTGACCTGTCCACAAACATTCATGACACAAACGTTCTGCAAGGAACTCCAAAACGCCTTGGTGCGCCTTGAGCCTTTTTTATGCATTGACCTGGCTGACTATCCAGCTGGATATTCTGATATGAGAGTATGAGACATTCATGGATCAAAGAAGTGCCTACTTTGACTAAGATATGAGTAGTCCATTCTAATATAGTAATATTAAATACTCCCTCCTTCCCTATTTTTTTTCCCTATTTGACTTTTCACGGTCACCAAGACACCTCTTAAAATGTATATATCACTATTTCTATACACGTAAAATTATAAATACTTGACATTAATAAAATATACAATGAGACGAATTTAACAAGATCCTACATGACTATATTGTCTCCCATAGATTAACTCTCTTATTAAGTAACGGAAATTAGTTTAATAAGGTAGAGCTTGGTTAAGTTAATAGCTTATCAGCAGAAACATGTATGACTGTTAAAATTGAGAAAGAAGTACTCTGTAACATAATATCCAGAAAGGAGTTTCTCTTGGGATGGGCGAAACATGGCCACTGAGAAAAGTCGATGTTACTTGGCAGCTTCACAAAGGCCACTGCACACTTTAGTAACAACTTCTAGAGAAAATGTCCTCCAAAAAAAAACAGCTAAATCCTATGTTAATTGGACACGGCTAAAATCACGAAGTGTCCGTATCGACACGACACAGACACGGACACAGACACGGACACGGGACACGTGTCCGACCCTTCACTGCACTCTGACACTTCCATTAAGAGTAGACAGGAAAAAAGAGGAGAAACATGAAAGAAAAACACATCTTGTTCAAAAACCATCATTGATATAGAGAAAATGGAGAGAAGAAAATTGTCATTTATTAGGTGAATTTACTGAGGAAAGAATTAAAATAAAAAAAATAGGGGTGGACGGAACAAAAAATTTAAACAATTTGTAATATGTAATTTATTTATATAAATTTAAGTTACGTATAGACGTGTCCCCGTACCCGTGTCCAAATATCGGAAAGAGTCCCCGTGTCCTAAAATTTTGGAACTTGCCGGATCGGACACTTGGACATGTGTCTGTGTCCGACACCCGTTCCCGAGTCCATGTAACATAGGCTAAATCCTTGAAGCAAACTGCTTGAAAATTTTTTACAAATTCAAACACTACACCCCTCTCATCAACCCATTCTATCCAGCAATTCCCGTGCCCCCATTCACAAAAGGCAGAAACTGCTCACTCAGTTGGCAGCATAGTTTCATACTTTGTAATACTTAGTTCTCCAAGCAACACTCATACTATCAAAATATGTCACTTACTGCAAGAATTCGTACTACATAATGCTTCTCAGTTTGATTAAAATCCCATGATCGTTCCCACTAATTTTACATTAGATAACAAAAAAGGAAGTAGGGATTCCTCAAGTGCTAACAACAGTGTGGGTCAAATCAGAAAATACAACCCTCAGAAAGCCCCTGGAGCATGAAGTCAGTGACAATTAGAGATACCACTAAGACAATTTTATCCCATGCACTTGCTAATTCGCAATCCCAAAAATCCAGTCAATCCTTTTCAACCACAATGTCCACTAAAGAGCATATCATGCCCTATCCCACAACATGTAAATATGTAACAGCTCTATCCCAACCAACACGGATCAAAATACAGAACTTGCAGGTGTACCTAACAGAAATCGACCTAACTCACCCCGCTCTCAAAGTCTCAAGGAGCTTATACCAAAAGAATCTAGCATTCACGATGTAGATCATTCAGTCCCTCCACTCTCAAAGAAGGCAAGAACTATATTTAGTCCCCAATTTAGCACATAATCAATGGTGTTAATACCTTTTAACTCCAAAAAGTGTTGCAACGAAAAGACACTAAAGAAGCAAAATTATTGTAGATGTTACCATGACACCCCACAAAACAAGGGTATATTTGGTAAAATTAGGAGCATTTTTCTTTTAACAATGTACTTTATGCCGAAAATCAACTAATTATGTCTAGGATTTAAGCATCTGAATTGGACAACATTATCAAAATTAACATCAATTAACCCCTTTTTCCCTTTAATTATATCCAAAATATCTCCTAAAGTCCTAATCATACAACAATAACCTACGAGTACATATAACCCAACATTCAACATTGAACTAAAATCAACAGTATATCAAATATCTCCAAAAAAAAATTAAAACTGCAACATTCAAGCTGATCCCACCAAATAAATCACAACCCACTTCATAAAAATCAATTATTTTTCTGGGAAATGAGTACAATAGTGTATACGATGTACCTGAAGAGAATCGAACTCGCGTTGAATGAGTTGGGTATTGTCCAATTTTTGTTTGAAGAGGTCAAGAGCACGAGAACAGTTATGAAACTGGTCAGAAGATAGAGAAAAAACAGGGGAATGTTCTGAAAAATCGACAGATTGAGGAGGAAGAGGAGATGGTGAAGAAGAAGAATGAAGAGAAAGTGAAGCAGGTTTTGGAGAAGAAGCAGACATTTTGGGTTTTTTCCGGAAGCAAATCCGGGATGAAACAGAGTTCCCCGTTGTTGAGAATATGAGAAAAGATCAAATTTGTTGGGTTTTTTTTTTTTTTTTTTTTTTCTGGGAAGTCTGAAAATTTTAGACAGTGTGAGCTGTTGTTCCTGTAAAATTGTGATTTGGAAGACAGATTTTCGAAAGAGATAGATTATCTATTTATGTGGGTCAATTTGATTTCGCACTCTTTTCTTTTTGTTTTGATTTTTGTGTTGGTGGATTTGGTGTTATGGTGGGAAATTATTGTATGGGTGTTGTAGGGTGTTTGGTGTGTGCTTTTTGAACCATTTTTTTTTTGTGAAAAAGGAGGTTAACATAGTTGGCTAATTAATAACGAGTACTAGAAGTCTAGGAGTACTAGTTAAGCTAAGCTAACATCATGGTGATGACCTTTTGAGCTTTTATCAATGAGTTAATAACGGGATTTGTGGTCATGATCGGATATACTGATGGTTAAGATGTAAAAATGGTTTCAAACGCTTAGATGACCTTTAGAGGTCTTGTGGAGTCCATGGATTTACTTTGATTGTTCGATGTCTAACTTGAAAAATTGTCTGAGTCTAAAAATGTTCAACGAATGATAAATTGAAGACTATAATACACAATATCGGCATATATTCAAAAAATTTCATAATTTAATATCAATAACTCAAGTAATTGTGGGATGCATTCGGAAGTAATAATAAGGTTTTTCTTTAACCTTTTTCACCTAATACCCGGTCAAAATAAGGCCCAAGTTGACCTCGAATCGATGGTGAGAGATGTGTCATGACTGGCTAAATTGGTTTCGACCACTTAAATGACCTCCCACGATTTCGTGAGGTTCATAAGAAGCATCATGTTTGTTTCGGGGTTTTTTGGAATCCCTTGGGATACAGGTTGTGAATATGTCCAGACGGCCGCAGACACCTGCAAAACAACGAATATTCTAGTTGACGGAATATTCGCCTCCGACGATCAAGTTAGTGATGGGAAAACGAAAATATTTAGAGAGAGAAAGAAGAGAGAAGTCAGAGCACTTTGTATGCCTTTTTATGATAGGTCTCAACCCACCTCTCCCATCATAAATGGTTGGGGTATTTATAGGGGTGGAAATGTGTGCATTCCAGGGTTGGTGCTCTAAAAAGAAGTGCACTGATTGGCGGCGCAATTAGGTTGAGACACGTGTCTCTTGGGGGCGCCGTTATGGCGCTTTTCTCGGGAATAATTGGGCCTCTTGATGTATGGAGGCCTTCTCTCATTCAGGGGCTCTTATGCTTTGCCACGTGTCCTCATCCTATTGGGACACGTGTCGCCCTTTCATTGGGCCCCGTGTCACTATTGGATTGGTCCACCTAATAGGGTATTTTTTTTACCCTAAACAATGTTCTACATATTTTATGGGTCTAAAAAAGTCAAAAAATCTTTGAAATTTATTGAAGGTTCTAAAATACGATTTTGAATTAATTTCAACAAAAAGTTTGAAAGTTGAAGTGGATGTGAGGGATGTGTCATGTGGCCATACAATGTTAGTTTGGAGCTATAATAAACCTCCAATGAGTTTTTAAATTCTAGTGAATGGGTTTGGGGTAAGAATGTTAAATGATGATAAGTGATACTATACATTAATTTGTGACACACTCCGTAGTATATTGATTATCAAGGGCAATATGGGTGTAAAAGTTAAGACAAGTTTGACGTTTTACGTCTAATACATCCCGGCAAATCTATCGTGAAGGAAATCAAGCAGCATATTATGTTGCCTTTCTTGGCTACTCTAATCCGACTCATTAAGATATTGACCCCTTTAAGAATAGCAAAAAAATATTATTTATTTATTTTTCTAAACACATCAGGGTACGTTTTTGCGATAAAACGATCATAATTTTCGGTAGCAGTTACAAGGTAAACAAAAATAGAGAGAGGTAGTCCCACGTCTAGGGTTTGGAAAAGTCCTTGTCTAGGGTTCGTAGTCTACATACGTTACTTTGTTTTTCTTTCAATTTTCAGTTTTTTTATTACAATTTCTTGATGCGAATCTGATCATGGAGTCAGAATTGATCAAAGAATTTGAGAAATTTCAACTCACTGTGGAAGAAGAGGTTGTGGTGGGGAGACAAGAAGCGGCGGGAGAGTATGATGGAGCGAATAAACAACTACAATTGACTCTGGTTGGAAAACTTTGGACAATAAAACCTTACAATGTCGAAGTCATGAAACGCACACTATCGAATATATGGAGTTTAAGGGAGAAAGTAGCAATTCGAATGGTGGAGATGAACTTGTATGTGTTCCAATTTTTCTGCGAAGAAGATAAGGGGAGAGTTATTGAAGGATTCCCATGGTTTTTTGACTACAAATTGCTGGTGCTTAAGGAGATGAATGGTGATGAACAACCATCTGAAATTGCATTTTCTCATTCGCCTATTTGGGTGCGGTTGTTAGATGTTCCTTTTAACCATCATAATCCGGCAATTATGAAGGAAATTGGTGATGTGCTAGGCGGTTTTTGGAGTTGGATGATGCAGACCCTCTCAATTGGGGGGAATTCATGAGGATCAAAGTTAGGCTGGACATTACCAAACCTTTGAGAAGAGGAATGTTCATTGCTACTGAAAACTCAACAAAGAAATTTATAGACTTCAAGTTTGAAAGGCTGGTGGAATTCTGTTTTTTTTGTGGAAAAATTGACCACACGGAGAAGGAATGTCGGGTTAAGGAGGAGTGCTTAAGTGCTTCCAAGGACATTGTGTACCAATATGTTCCTTGGTTGAGAGCTCCACTGAGAAAGAAGATACGAGCTGTGCCTTCTGATTGGGAGAAGGAGAGGAAGTCGATCAAAGACCTGCCATGGAAAACCACTATCCGCAAGCCTAGTTACAATGATGAAGGGGTGACTAAACTTGGCCCACCTAGTGCAACAAGGGGACTTCGGTACTCATCCCCTGTGAACAATGATACTCAGAAGCTTGGGAGTGAAAGAAGGGTGGAATTGGTGGCTGTAACTGACCCGGGTAGTGACAAAACCATGCTAAGACCCAGGATGTTCATGGACGTGGGTGTAGGGGGAAATAATGAGAAGGGAGTTAAACTGAGGGAAAAGGAGAGCTCTGAAATATTGAGGGTTGGAGAAACTGAAAATAGTGAGGTGGATGAAATGCTAGTGGATGATGAAATTAATGTGTCTGGTGTGTTCGAAAAAGATACTAGTGTAGTGGGGGGAGTGGAAAAGGGTAATAAGGGATGTGAAATTAATTAATGGGAATAGTGGGGTTACTGATATGCCACAAAAATAAATCCCTTAAGCGTAATATTGATGACAGCAATAATGTTGGTACAGGAAATATGAAAGTGTCAGGTGAAAAAAAGCAAATATTTGTTTCTGTAAAAGCTGCCGGAGACGGTGAAAATCAAGTAAAGGGGATCGGTTGCACCCGACCCCTTCAAAAGTAATGAAAATTTTAAGTTGGGACTGTCACGGGCTTGGCAACTCGGGGACAATTAAATCCCTTCGGGATTGGTGTTTGACAAGCGCTGAATTGGTCGCACAATCTAGGCTAAGTCAAAAACATTTATAACAAACACCTCACTCAAACAAGTACAATGGCAAGCAAGGGTTCGGTCCACGGAGAACGGGAATCAATCGCTAAATAATCTTAACGCTCAAGCTAAATCGAAATCAAGGTGTAAGTGGTGATTAACTAACAAACTACAACTAAGGATTGAATTTAAGGGATTAAAACACTAGGGGAATGGGATTCACTCAACCAATAGCAATTAGGCAAATAGGGAGGAACGAGGATAATGGAATAGCAAAGACCACATGCAAGACCAAATTCAAACAATATGAAAACAACTCAAAGCACTAAGCTTAGATCCCTCATTAACTTAGCAACAAAAGATACATAATCATATTGTAATAGGTAATGAAACATTCAACTCACATTTCCATGTCGAACCAAACATTTCATGCCATCAAGTTCAATAATCTAGGTTAATTACTCCTATCATGAAGAGCTAACAAGCAATCCCATATAATCCATTTTAATCACAATCCATCATCAAAATCACTCTCAAACTCACATAATCACCATTAGGTAGGGTTTCACCCAACCCCTAGCTAAGGAACTACTCACACATCATATTGAAAAGCACAAAATCAAAATCTAGGGTTCTATCTTGCTCAACAATCATCAAAGAGAAATTCGCCAAAAATGGTGCTAGACATTCAACTATTCATAAATAGGGACTAAGAGATTCAAATAAACATGCAAAAATAAAGCAAACAAGAGATTAAGAGTAAAGAGAGATAAGAAATGTTACTAAATGAGAAATTCCAATAAACTTGGTTGCAATACTTGTCAAACTTGGAATAATCTTCAAATCAATTACAAAGTGTTTAAATTTGATTAGGAACTAAACAAAATCTAAGAAAATGTGTTTAAACCCTAAATAGAGTACTATTACTAAGCCTTTCTATCTCTACTCTCCTCATAAATGAGGCAATCAATTTATTTATATCAGTCCAAAACAAAGGGGCGGAGAGAACATGAAACTGCTTTGAAACAAATCGGCACGGACGTGCCAAACACTGCACGGTCGTGCAGCATGGGCGAAACTGGAGTTGGGGCCTGGCACGGGCGTGCAGCCAAGGTAGAAGCTTCGACGTGCTCAGCAAGTATCTTGCACGAGCGTGCCACCATCATGCACGGCAATGCAGCTCCCATCACGAGCATGCCAATTGTTGCACGTCCATGCAGCCTTCACAGAAGGTTTTGCCAATCTTCAAACTTCTTTGCATGGCCATGCCAAGCATTGCACGACCGTGTAGAGCACCAGGAGGTCTTCAAATGAAATTCAAGCCTAGCCAAAGATACCTCAAGGCCATGACTTCTTACCCAACCATCGGGATGTCTTATAAGGGTCTAAGCATACCTGAAAATGCATCAAAACACTAACAAAACCCATGAAGCATGACAAATATGAAGAAAGTACAAAAACAGAGCGATAAGTGAGCAAAATTGCTAGAATATGGCAATAAGTGAGCACTAAATCACCCTAAAACCGCACACTAAAGTACGTTGTCAGTGTTGAAGGGAGAAGCCAAATATAGTTTTCTTAATGGAGTCTATGATAGATGCGGGTAGACTTGAAAGAGTTCGGAATAGCTGTGGTTTTACTAAGGGTATTTGCATTAGTAGTACTGGTAATTCTGGAGGTATGGGATTTTGGTGGAGAGATGTCAATATTGCTATAGGCTCGTACTACTCATCATTTCATTGCCGATGTTTGTGACCATAATAATACCCCAAGTTAAAGAGTTGTTGGGGTGTACGGGTGGCCTGAACAGGAGAATAAAGTTCGTACTTGGGAGATGTTACGTAGAATAACAAGTGGGAGCTCTTTG